GAGGGGATGAATAAGGAGGAGGGCGATTAAGATTTGTTTGTTGTATTTTCAAGGCAAAACGACGTCATTTGGTTGGGTTTGTTGCATTTTTACTGAATGGCTAAATGTCGCCCTTATTTTACATCGATCGCCCTAATTTAAGAAACAAAAGTACTAAATTAACCCCAACTAACCAAGTAAAAATAAACAAAACAACCCCTAAAATTCCTAATCATTTATCTTCTTCCAACCAGCGTTGCCCTCCAAACCACTTCCACCGCCGAATATTTGCAGTGCAGGAGTCCCTCCACCACCGACGGATAGCTCTCCAAACAGCCCTGATAGACGAAGGCGCGAGTCCCCCAATAGATTACTTCAGCCCATAGGCTCATTTTTCCTTTGTCCTCGGCGGTGCTGCGAGCCACACAGACAGCGGCAGTCAGACAGAATCCAACAGTGGTAGCGACAACAACACCATCATCACACATCAGTATTTCCGTCCATTTCAAATCTCACACAACTTCTGTATATTATAATATAACCCTTTTAACTACTCTTCGGTCTCATTTCTTTTAAAGTATGAGAATGACCTAAATTATCAGAATTAATTAAGAGGCATGGTGGCGGAAGAGGTTCCTGACATCCCTGCTTAAACTACTCTCTCTCACAAATGGCGAAGTAAGCTTTTTTGTTGTTGAATGGAATACGTTTGTTAAAACCCCAATATATTTTTAACAATAATAAAAGAGGAAGGGTAAAAGAGGAATTTAGATTTTTATGTTAGGGCGATAAGGGCGATGATTAGCAATCCCCCATTTTTATTACCATGAATGTACCGACGACCAGGTCAAAAACGACTGGTATTTTGTGAAAAGCCGATTCAACTACAAATATAGGCCAATACATTATTTTTCTTCTTTTCTAAATATCATGCCGCATTTTATCTGATTTTCGATTTTTTCAATTTAACTGACCAGTACGGTATGATATCTATGGTATTAACCAATGTTGTCAAAAGCGAACCGGAGTATGACCCGATAATGTGAACGATTCGGTCTTTAGCGGTCCAACGGACATTAAACCGTTTAAAAACCTTTAGAAAACCGGTACCTAATAAATAATTAGTATAAATAGTTGACACTTTTTAATCATGGTAAACCATGACTAAATTAGTAAATTGCACTCTTAACTCTTAACAATTCCAAAACATGAGTACCAAAAGGGGTGAGATGGCCGAAGCAGGGCAATGCTCGATTCAAGCCTCTGGCGATGGCTATCAAAGGAGCAGCTGCGAGAAGAAGGAACGGGGACTGGCGAGCGGGGAGCCGGGAGCAGAGAGCGGCTACAAGGACTAGGGATGGCGACGAGAAGCGACGGGATGGGAAAAGACGACGGAGTGGAGGAGTTGCTACGGGAAGAGGGGACGGGGATGGAGACTGGCGATGGCGAACTAGGAGCTGCTACGCTGACTGGGGATGACGATGATGCCGATAGGAAGTGTTGACGGCGACAAGGTTTGGCGCCGCTCTTCTTCCTCTGTTGTCACTGTTCACGAAGAGTCGAAGACTGAATTAGAGTTAGGGTTTCTTTCCCAGCCCCACGATTTTGTCTTTCGTTTTCAATTTTCTTTTTCAATTTTTTTATTAAACATAACGACCATAATGGGAAAAAACGAGCAACCGGTTCGAGCGGTTAACCGCTTTGGTTGCTCCAAAAAACTGTAGCGACTAAATGACTGGCTTGAGCCGGATTTGCGACCGGGTGGTGACTTTATCGGTCTGGCCGGTTGGTCGACTCCGTCCGATCTTAATAACACCTGTATTAACCCTTTGGGTAAATACAATATATTAGCCACAACTATTATGAAGCGGGGAATTATAGCCACAACTATTGAAGTTCAAATTATTAGCCAAACGTTAACAATCTGTTAACAATTTCGTTAGTAATACTGACTAAACTTTTATGTTTTGAAGTTATAAACTAAAAGCATTCCTATGTGGCCGCTGTCGTGGCTGATGACGTGGCCTTCTCTGTCAAAAATTCAATAACAGTAACGGACAGTTAGCCATATCTTGACCTGCAACATTAGTTATGGATAATAATTTGAATTTTCATAATTGTGGCTATAATTCCCCGCTTCATAATAGTTGTGGGTAATATATTGTATTAACCCTTTATTTAAGGGATTAGATACCGTCACTTCCACTATAGGGGAAGTGATTTTCGCTTCCCTCTTCCCATCCCTAGATCCCCTTCTCCCTTCTCCTATTTTCATCTGGCGGCTGATATTCATCAAGGGCAAAAAAGGGAGGTGCCGCACTGGATCAGCTCCCTACCCAAGCCACGTTTGCTGAGACGCAATCTTCGGGATTGAAAGGGAAAGATTTTCGGAGACCATTCGGCCACCTTCCCCGCGGAGAAATCCTTCGCCTGGCAATCCTCCCTCTTCCCTCCTTCTCATCACGAAACCTAAAAAACCAAGCCATCGTCGCTGATTTCCATTATTGCCGCCTCTCCCTTGCATCATCTCGCGACGTACCTCTACTGGATTCGAAGGCTTGTTCTTTGAGAGTAGAGGTAAGTCCACTCCTTTGTTTGCTTCTCTCTGGTACATGTCGTTTGGAATTACGTTCGGTTAAATTTCCATTGACTGGGTTAAACTGGCCGTTCCCCAGTGGCCTTCCACGCTAGAATCCACAAGCCCTAACATTGCTCGCTTGTTCTTCCGATGCTTCACCTGACTGACTACCGATGTCGACCCTTGCTACGGCGTTTGAATATAGAACATGTGAGGTTCTTCATCCCTGAAGTTTTTGATTTCCGATCCGCACGTTGGAATCGAAGATGCAGACCTTCGTTTCTTGTGTACCCTGTTTGTTTGTGTATATTCAGTGGTACTTGGAATTGGTATCGATGTGCTAGTGGTAGTTAGAATTGATTGTTTTATTGCCAGTGGTAGTGGTATCAGTACCAAAACTGGTTCTTGTACCAGTACGCCAACTCATTCGTGTACCAGTACCAATAATTGTACATGAACAAGTATCACTAGTGATCGTTGTACCACTACCACTAGTGAAGGAGGTACCAGTACCACTAGTGATACTGGTTCATCTTGAAGAGATACAAGTACCACTAGTAATATTGGTATATCTTGGAGAGATACTGGTACCACTACCACCGTTACTGTATCACAGGCTTTACATGGAGTTGGAATTGTAAGTTTTAATCAACATGCCTGACAAATGTATTTGTGTTATTTTGCTACCAGGAATGGGGAGAACAAAGGTTCCATACTATAATTGATGACCCAAGTAATATGATGGTGGAGGAGGTGACTGGTAGAGCTTTGCAGATGAAGGAGGGTTTACTCCATGGATATACCCAGCAAACCCAGCAGTAGTTTGGTTTATGTTCATTATGGAATAAGAACAAAGTTTTATACATTGTGAAACTAGTAGTGGTATGCCTTTTAGTTCCATTTTCATTCCAAATTTGAAGTTGAACCAGATGTGTTGTTGAAAAATAGGATTGTTGTTGAATCAGTTAATATGGTGTTGTCTTACAAGAGTAGTTAACTTATTTTTCTAATCACAAAGTGACCAGTAGTGGTACAAGTACTAATAGTGGTACAAGTAATAGTTGTGGTATTGGTATCAAAAGCCTCTACGGGTTCTTAGTACCAGTACGACTAATGATTATTGTACCAATAACAATAGTGGTTTATGTACAAGTACCACTACTGATTATTGTATCCGTACAGGTAATTAGTAAAGGTAGGGATCAGAGACTGCAAGTTGGGGATCGAAAACCACTCTTGGCAAATTTCCCCAATAGTTGTATATGTGCCAGTAACTATTAATAGTAGGGATCAGAGACCAGAACTTCGTACCACTACTGGATATTATTACCAGTAGGAATCAATAATAGTGGTACAAGTAAGCAACACTGGTTCACTACAAAACTCTACGGGTGAGAAAATCTCATCAGAATAATGAAACATCTGTCACAATTGACAATTTAAACTGTATCATGTCCCAAATACCACTACAAGTCTACCAGTACAAAACTACCACTACATGCGTACCAATACAATTGTACCAGTACAAAACTACCACTACAAGTGTACCAGTACAAAGCTATCACTACCAATACTAACATAATAGCACAAGCATACTACTGGTACAGTTCTCTCTTTCCATCAGTCGTAACATTAAAAAACCTAATACTAGTACAACGAAATCACACTAGTTAACCCTACCGAGATTATTGCCTTCGACGGCATTCCTCATGCCGTCCATGCCGTCGTCATCTTCTTTAGTGTACTCGACCGGGAGAGGCACACAATCCTTGTCGTTCGCGATGTTGTCGTCGTTCGCGATGAAGCCAAATAAACGAGTCCAGTCGGATCCCCCCAAATCTTTGTCGCCGTTCATTATGACGGCGTCAACGAGAAGTTGCTCCGACGTTGCTTCCAGTCTGTTAGGCTACCTACGTTGCCTCTGCTGAAAGATGAAGAATCCGAAAATGATAGGGGAACCATCGTGGGCGGTTATGGTTAGTGCTAATCCAACCCCATAAATCACGCATACCAATATTCCCCATGCATTTACTATTTTTTTAATTCCGTCAATTCAGCATTGAAATTATATTTATTATCATTTTTTCTTTCCTTATTATTTTAAAGGTTACTTAAGAATTTCCAAAACACCCTTTTTGTGTTGATAGCCGTCGAATTTGGAAGGGAGATGGACGGCTCTAATGTGGGAACCGGATCCTGCCCCTTTATTTAATAGCAAAGTTTACACGGAGCTCACGGTCCGCAAAGACTAGTAGAAAATTCAAAATTCCAGTGTGCACCAAGCCCAATGTCTCCCAGTTCAAACTAAACCGTCGGATATTTTCACCAAAGCGTGTTCACCCGGGCTACTCATACATGATACATCCGACGGCGTCGCGGCGATAGAGTTCGGTGGCGTATTAGTAATTTGGTCAGATTCTCTTCTGCGCTCTTTCTCGACTTCTGCTACTACTTTTCCCTTCGTTCTGCTACTACTTTTCTCTTTCACGCTTTCTTACAGCTAGTTACCCTCCGCCTCCGCGTTTCTTCAACTATTGGTGACAAGAACAGAGAAGTGATTATGGGCTTTCCTCAGTTTAGAAACTGGCGTTTCTACACAAGTCTTTCTCCTTCGTTGATTTGATTCTCGACATCGAACTGGGGGTTTTGGATCGAATTCCCCGGGTGAAGTCTTGGAAGTGTTGTCGAATCTAGGAATTTCGCTTTATTTGATCCTTCGTTGCAGAGATGCCTAGGGTTTACGATAATTGGGAGAGGTTGGTCCGCGCCACCTTGAAGCAGGAGCAGCTGAGGAGTGCTGGGCAAGGGCCCGAGAGATCCGGCAGTGGCATTGCTGGCGCCGTTCCGCCTTCTCTCGTACGCACGACGAATATTGACGCCATACTGCAGGCTGCCGATGAGATTCAAGCTGATGACCCAAATGTTGCCAGGATTTGTAAGTCTTAAAAATTTCTTGTTCTCTGTATGTTTCTGGATGAAAATGCATCTGGACCTCTAGTTAATGGCATCGCTAGAACTTTGATCTTGGCTTAGTGTACTGGCGTCAGAATGTTGAGTGTTGTATTTGCAATTAGCAGGGTAAGGGAGGAAGAGGCTTGTTTACGTTTTGGTAGTGGTCCAATGGAGTTCAAGATGTTGTTTGAGCGCTGTTTTAGTAATGGAGAACATATTTAGAAATGTTATTCAAAAGATTTACGAAATCTTAGTGTTTGATGCCACCTTGTATTTAAGTCTCGAATTTTAAGATAGTTTTTAATCTGTCTAGTCGCTACATTCTTGAAGCAGATTCATGTCCTTTCTGGAGCAGTGCTTGTCGATTCAAAATGTGTAAGAGGCATGCTACTACCAGTAGGAAAGGGTGTTAGCGGTATTAGGATTATCATAAAAATAACGATGGCCATTAATGACATTGGAATAATGATGCCCAATGGCTGTCCAGCTGCTCTGGTTCTATGAATAGTTTCATGTTGCTCTGGTAATATGTGTTCTAGTGTGACTAGTACAATTCTTGGTTGAGCATATGATGATTTTGGAACAGTGGAATCTGAGAAACGAATAGATACATGCAGTGGGTTCACATGTCCCAATGTACTAAACAATTTGTGTGGTCATACAGTAATTTCTATGTGTGTAAGGAATTTGACCTTTCGCATGCTACTCGTCTTTCTTCTACAATTCTGTCTCAGTTAGATGATACTATCTTGTCTGGAGGTCATTAGGGAAATGTGGAGCTCAAGTCTTTCTGCAACATTTGGTTTCAATTTGTTTCTGACAATAGAACTTTATTTTTTATTTCAGTGTGCGAACAAGCATATAGTATGGCACAGAACTTGGACCCAAATAGTGGTGGCCGTGGTGTTCTCCAGTTCAAGACTGGCTTGATGTCTGTGATCAAGGTATGTTTAACCTTATTGCTAAAGTTTGCGTATAACTTGGTTTGGCGAAAGCTATGTTTGTGCTGCTATTCTAGTGTAGTTCTTAGATACGAGAAAGTTGCTTAATCATGCAGATCAAATCAAGTTTTTTGGAGTTTTTATTAGAAATAATTATTTGCTGCAGCAAAAGCTTGCTAAAAGAGATGGTGCGCCAATAGATCGCAATCGTGACATCGAGCACCTCTGGGAATTCTACCAGCGGTACAAGAGACGGCACAGAGTGGATGACATCCAAAGAGAGGAACAGAAGTGGCGGGAATCTGGAACATTTTCTACGGCTAATCTGGGAGAGTATGTGCAAAGTCATTCCCATCTTACATCTATTTAGATACATACTTATTATTATTTTTTATCTTTTGCCTTCTCTTGATCCACAAGTATCTTCTGTTAGCTGTAAAAGATAACTTTACCTTTTTAGGCAGGGGAACTCGCAAACAACATACAACACTATTTCTCTGTTTAAGCGAAACTCGACACACAACTTGCACTTTGCCTTACAGTGCTGGGGGAATAAAATTTTCAATTTTTTTTTGAATCTTGGAAGTACCAAGTAGCTAAAAGTGTAGACTTTTGTGAATGCTAGCTGATTAGATGTGTGAGAACTTAATCAACTTGGTCTCAAAAATATCTACGGATGAGGAAGGTTTGCAATAGCACCTCTAGGACCCATAACTTCACATTAGGTGGCAGTAGAACTCACATTTTGATTAAAGAGTTGACTCTCATGCAAGGTAGGACCAATAGTCTGCTTATTTTTCTTCATTCGAATCCCATACTCGACTGTGAGGTGTAACCTTTTACTTCCAGGTTCTCTTTATATTTTGGTTTATGTATCATCATTATGTGCGCTTTAGATTCTCTGTTATTAGGATGAATTAAGAGACGTCTGATGCAACACAAAATCACTTTATTAATGAACATTTGTCTCTGATGCTTTCCCTAATAAGGGAAATAGAAGTTGGCTTGAGTCATTCGTAATCTGAATCTGCTTGCAATAATTATGCTTTATCTAGGCTCGTGAAACTGGAAGTAACAATGATGATTGTTTCTTTTCTTGTTCGAATAACATCACCTGGATTTGCCTCATCAACTTAAAGTTTTGCCATTTAGATTGGAGCTGCGCTCTCTAGAGATGAAAAAGATATTTTCAACTTTGAGGGCATTGGTAGATGTCATGGAAGCTCTTTGCAAAGATGCTGATCCTCGTGGTGTGGGAAAGCCGATCATGGAGGAGGTATTTGTCTGTTATTTGGCTATTCTGTTGTGTCTGAGCTGTAAGTTTATGCATAATTTGAACAACCTGTTGCTTGTGATGTAGCTTCCTTAATATTTTTGGTATAAAAAGGGTGCAAAGCACCCTTTACTCTGTAAGAACTATTGTCGTGAAGGTACAGGAGTAAAAAGGAAAAATGTGATGCTGTCTTTGAAATTTCTTCCCAAAAATGGATATTTAGTCGAGGACAGTAATTTACTGATGCAACTTTATACTATCTTTCCAGCTTCGAAGAATTAAAAAGGTTGGGGAACTCACGCCTTACAACATTGTTCCTCTTGAATCACCATCATTGACCAATGCTATTGGAGTATTTCCTGAAGTAAGTTGATCCTTGGGAACTTATGTGAAAACTAGCTGTACTCTGATGTCTTTTCATCTCATGTGATACGAACTGATGATTGCTTTTTTCTCCGTCATGCTCCACACTTTACCCGTTCTGTACCTGGATTTTGCATTCAAGATGTGACTGTTATACAATTTACTTAAGCCAGAAATTTCCCTATGTAATCCTTTGTATTGGGGTTATTTCCAGGTCAGAGGTGCAATATCTGCAATCAGATACACTGAAAACTTCCCTAGGCTCCCTTCTGAATATGAGATCTCTGGAGAACGCGATGCTGACATGTTTGATCTTCTGGAGTATGTGTTTGGTTTTCAGGTTTGTACATTCTTTTTTTATTAAAATTCATGGCAATTTTGTATTGTGGTCCAGATTGATACTTAAGCATCTATAGTTAAATGCGTCCTCTTGTTTAAGCTTGTTGATTGGTATTTTTTTCCGTTCCCCTCCAAGCTCTCATCTGTGCTTGTTGCTGTTCATTCAACCTTGTTGAAAACTTAAATGAAGTGATGTGCTCCTAAGATAAATTTTTTGTCTTACTGCTATGTTTAGGCAACGTTTGTGAGTATGTTTAGCTGATAGTGGGTTTATTTCTCTTAAGAAACTAATAGTGGGGGTGTCTTTAATTTGAGTTGCTTCATAAAATTTGCTTTGTGGACAACAGCACATTTGGAGCACTTCACAGTAGATATGTGCTGATGTTTTGTCCTGGCTAGTATGAACTTTTGGTTCTGTGTATTTCTTCTGGTCTTGGTTTATTTCCTGAAACCTTTATGTTTCATGTTTGGGGTGCTCAGTACTCCAGGCAGTTCCTTGGTCAGATGAGCTATGATGATACGAGTTGGTCCTAAGCAGAGTTAGTTCCTTGAGCTTGCTAGAATCTGTAGGCGGTCACCATCAAGGGAATGTCTATGCTGACAATCAATCATCCAACAGTGTTTTGAATTCATTGAATGTATAAAATTAGGATAAAGCTTAATTCGGATTGAATTTCTCACTTTAGGGTTTAGACTATTTGCCATTGGTGCAAGAATCTAGCAGTCATCCATCAAGCAGACATTTCTTGGGACTATACTTATAGCTGCTAATGTGATTGCTGCAATCTCTTTCTGAGGGGTTTTCATATAATGTATGGGGTCGTTTGGAAGTTGCGATTGTTAGTGTTGTATTTGTTAAATACATGCATTGTCCACAATACAACGTTTGGAAGTGTCAAGTTGCAAAACAATGCATGTATTGTTTTGTGTGGGTCCCACCAACAATCAACAAAAATGAGGGATTGTACAATCTCAACTAAAAGTTGAGATTGTTGTGATTGTTGGTTTAATAATTGAGCACCTTTACTTTTTCCAATTATGTCCATAGTTCTTTTTGTTTTATATTAAAAGTGGAGGACAAATATGACATTTCCTTATAAAGTAACTTTATAACAATCAATTCACAAATTATAATCTCAACAACCAAACAATATAATTTCAAAATGCATCTATTGTATCAATGCATGCATTTATATCATAGTGATTCATAACAATACAACGATTTAACATACGCAACTTCCAAACGACCCCTATAGTTATGTAAAGAATGGGTAGTAAGGGAAAAGGTTTGAACTTGTCATTTGGCTAATATTCTAAAAAACTAGTATATCTCTATTGACATGTGTGGTTACTGACCAAGCATTTTTAATGGTTCTGTGAATAAAGCTAAGGAGTTCAACTTGTGATATGATGGATTCATTCATAGCTGACTTCCTTATTTCTGCAGAAAGGCAATGTCACAAACCAAAGGGAGAATGTTGTCCTTCTGATTGCAAATGCACAGTCTCGACTTGGCATACCTGCCCAAGCTGATCCTGTGAGTGCTTCGGTTAATCAATCCTGTTATAACAATTTTTTTTATCCATCTGCGGCTCCTATCTCGAGTTTCTGTCTTGTGTAATGTGTCTGGCTGGCTTACCGAGCTTCCATGGACTTCTGTAATTTATGAAATCATCGATACAAGTGCCGCTCTGTACAGAAGGACTTCTTCACTGCAACCCAGATCAAAGACAAAAGAAAAATGCCTTGTTTTTTTTATTTGTCTTGTAATGTTCACTGAACTAGACAAGGTCTCTTATAGATTCTTTTGATATGTGTAATTAGTAGGCACAAGGAATTGTTAGATTTTTATTGCATATTTGCAGAATTTTAGGTTTTGACTAGAGTAATTACCTGTGACCTGCTTCGGGGGACGTTCTGTTATTGAGACCGGAAAACATGGATGTATTATTTGCATTCTGCTGGAATCAAGTAGTTATGTTTTCATGCACTTATATACTTGTTTGCAGAAAATAGATGAAAAGGCAATCAACGAGGTTTTCTTGAAGGTGCTGGACAATTATATTAAGTGGTGCAAATACCTGCGCATACGTCTTGCTTGGAATAGGTTGCTACTGAACCATGAGTTTACCTTGTCAAAGAACTCATTGTCTGCCTTCTAATTACACTTTTTATTTGCTTGCTACAGTAATCAAGCAGTTAATAGGGAGAGGAAGCTCTTCCTGGTTTCGTTGTACTTTCTCATATGGGGTGAAGCTGCAAATGTTCGTTTTCTACCTGAGTGCATTTGCTATATATTTCACCATGTAAGTATTCTCTTTGTGCTCTTTAGTGTGACTTTCTTACATTCGGATGGAATAAGGTCCAATTGCAAATATGTCCCTTTTTCTTGTTGATTTACATTTACTCTCCATTCCACTGACTATTGGCTTGAGTCATGGTTAAGTATGTGGATCTTGCTGCTTTCCTCGGCAGCTGTTTGAGTGATGTTCTGATGATGGCCATCTCCATTTTCTACATTATTTATGGACTAGTTTGCTTACATCATACCCATGGCAAACTAATATACAATGAATTTATTGGCTACAATTCATCCTCATGGCAACACAGTAGTGACGCTGTAGTTGGATGGACCATAAAAACTGGTCAGGTATCTTTACTTGGAAGGTGGTTGCCAAACTGTGGACCTTAGCTGGAACCACATTGCTGCATCTCTTTCTTTTCTCTGGTCTTTGCAGGCGCATAGGCTACCTGAAACAAAATTCCTTTTTGCTTGTTGAATCTGAGAATAGCATACAGTGATCTTTGGCCTGTAAATACTCAACCCTAAGGAATGGAAGAGGGAGCTAGGATTTATTGTTCTCTACAACAGTAGTGGGAAGAAGAAAAATACTTTGAATCCTAAAAACCACAAAGGAGAAGAAACTTTAATGAGTGGGAGTTAAAGAAGTAGTTGTCAAATCTGCAATAGCATCCTTGGCAAGTGTTTCACATTTCTTATCGTGAGAACATGGAAGTGATATCTTCGTTTGCCCCTCTTTTATTTTCAGATGGCAAAAGAGCTTGATGCTGTTCTTGATCATGGAGAAGCTGATCATGCCCCTAGCTGCAAAAATGAAAGTGGTTCTGTGTCCTTCATTGAGCAAGTGATTCTCCCGATATATGAAACGATGGCAGAGGTAAGTACAATATGATTTTGATAGTGGGTTCACTGACATTTGGTCTATTTAATGTTGAAACTTGAATCATACGTCATTACGTGCTCCACAGAGCAGCCAATTGTGCTTAATTTTGGTGCTCTTGATTTGATTCCTTTTCCTCTACCATTTTTACATTGCCGAATTAGTTCCGAAGATAGTATAGCTGTATAAGGATGTCTCACTGGTCCTTCTCTTCACCTTATTAGTGTCTTTAAGCTATCTTTGATCTAGTGGAACTCTGAGCCTGAATGTAGTTAGTCTGGCGATTTGTTGTGTATTTTGTCATCTTCTTATTCAACTGATTTCATAGTCTTCTGTTTGCTTTAATTAGGTAGTACAAAAGACACATAAAAGTTTGAAGAATAAGTACAGCCATCTAAATTGCTCTGCTTGTCGTTCTTGTATGGTTTATATGTGAAAAAATTATTTTGTAATCATTGAATGCATTTTTTGTAAGAGACATGATTACCTATGAGAAAATGGTTTCCTTTGAGTTCTGTTTTCAGCTTTATCAATTTTGCTTGATTAAGCTGAGTGGGGAATGAATTTTCCTAGTGGGTATTTGGAAAGAACCATGGCTAGAGCAACTGAAAGGCTTTTCAAAGTCTAGCTGGAGAAATAATTTGGTTTTATTGGGTTAGGTTGGGGCTCATGCAGCTGTGTTATTTTTGTTAAAGCAATAGTTTTGGGTATGAGAGTTGTGTTGGGGGTCGTTTGGATGAGAGTTTTCTAAAACTTGGGATTTTACACACAATCCCACGGTTTAAAAACCTGAGTTTTTAATATGAGGAATTTTAATAAATCACTTGTTTGGATACGAACATAGGATTTTAATAAGAAATATCAAATTACAATTTTATCCTCATCTCTACCTATCCTCTTCCTCTCCTTCTCTGATTCGTTAACCCAGAAGCAAGCCAAGGCAGCCACTTTTGTCACAACAGCAGACTGCAGTGAGATCCCCTCGTTGAGAATCAGAGCATGGATGCAATTAAGATGCCACACAGAGGAACATTAAACCAACAAGTGGTTAAGAGAGGGGATTGAGTGGTGTAGGGAATTGAGTGGAGCAGGGATCCCTGCGTTTCCCAGTTTCCACACCTTGTGAGCGAAAAATCGCAGATTCTGCTGCCAATAGAAGTTCAAGCGCTCACTGTTCCGCTTCCTCCACAAGATTCCGATAGCAGCAACGCGAAAGTCTTAGGCGATTGAGAAAGAGAACGGCGCCAAGGAACTCTCCGCCGCCGCCGCAACTCATCGAGGTGTGCCTTGGCTTGCCACCATGGTACCCAGAAGCAGAGGGTCCCCCATTGGCGGTCGATTTGGGGTTCAAACCTAGAATTGACATTGGCTCCACATCGTAAACCCGAATCTCCGGCGACGCAATAGAGTGGGAGAGGAAGGGGATGTGACCAGGTGAGAGATGGAAGCTCTTCGGAAGGTAGAAGCTAAGTCGACATCGTCGGCGGATGCCTTGGGATAGAGGTGGAAGAAGAAAAAAAGATGAAGGAAGAAGAACGAAGGTGAGGGGCAACATTTGGAAATGACAAAATAAAAACGAGAGATTGTGAAATAGCTGATTGCTATCAGCTATTTCAAAAACCCACAAATGAGAGTTTTTGAAATCACTAATTACAAAATTCTGCATCTTTCCCAAACGTAGGATTGTTTTAAAATCCTGCATAATAAGGGATTGTTTTAAAATCCCTCACAAATTACTCACCACAAACCTGCATCCAAACCACCCCTTGGTGAATTACTAAATTGCTGAGGTCGTGATTGGTTTGGCTTGGGTGAAGTTGCTTACAGGTTATAACTGCTCGTTGTGTCCTATCCTCAATGGATCTTAAGTTAGGGGTTTGATAGTGTGATTAGTCATCTTTTTTTGCTCAGTGAATATTTGTATCTATATTCATCCAGCATGCTTACTTGAATGCTTATGTTTAATTATGGATATTATCTACTTCAATGGATCAGTATTTAAACCCCCCATTAAAAATGTCTTAATGTTGTTACCCCGTTGATGGAATGCATATATGTTTAGAGGAGGCGCTGCGGTGGTGAAATTACAGTGTCAAAGTACCAAGGTTCATTTTGATGAATGACAGGAGCAGGGCTGTCCTTCTTGCGCTCCTTAAAAGGATGTGTTTATTTGTTGTCTGAGGATTTCCTTGGTTGATGCAATTTTGTTGTTTTATTGGTTGCAGTTGAATTTAGAGTGGCTGCAGTTCCCACTTAGCTGTGTACTTTAGGCTACTCTTTTAGTGAATTTGTGTAACCCTTCTGCTTATGGATTGTATGGTAAACTTTGGCAGGAAGTGGGAAGAAATAATAATGGAAAAGCTGCACACTCTGCATGGAGAAACTATGATGACTTCAACGAATACTTTTGGTATACTTTCTGACACCCAACTAAACAGTTTTTAAAGCCTTGTCTAGTGGTTATGTTCTGATATGGAATGCCAATATAGGTCACCTGCTTGCTTCGAGTTGCGGTGGCCTATGAGGAAAGATTCTTCGTTTTTAACGAAGCCTAAAAAGTGGAAAAGGGTAAGTTTTGCTTGGACTCATGTTCATTCACAATTTGCTTAAAGTCTGTCGTCGAAGCAAAAAACCTTGTTACTACTTGCGACTTCTTGCATGGAGGCTGTCTCGAAATTCTGTTAAGTTTAATCTGGAGCGTACTTTTTATTTGCTTGCAATTGCTGTGGCAAGCATAGAGGTAAGGGAATGAGTAGCGTATTTTACCATCAAAGTTTGACATGTAAATACAAGAAGTTTCAAATTAGGTTTCCTTTTTGCAATGCTGCTACTGTGATATCAGTTTTCCAAGTTGTGGATTGCACTGTCAGCCTAAAATTTGGTAGAATTGTTTCTCTTCTCCACACCTGCTTTTCCAGTCGTATCTTTTCTCGTCTAATTTCTCGGTCTTATATAACTGTATTGTAGATTATAGTCATATGTTTGTGTTGGTTTGTAATGAACATAGTCTTAGCTGTACTTCCAGATGCTCCTTAGGGCATGAAAGGAAGCGTAACTGATGGTCAAGCCTTCCTATATATTTTGTTTTGTCAAGTCCCATGAGGCTCATTAATCGGATGGAGTTTCTGTTACGTGTCTCTATTTCTTGTGCAACCTATGTACCTGTTTTATTCTTGTCATAAACTGGCAGACTGGCAAAAGCACTTTCGTTGAGCATCGTACATTTCTTCACTTGTACCGAAGCTTCCATCGGCTCTGGATTTTTTTGGCTCTGATGTTCCAGGTCAGCTTTGTGCTTGTTAGTCTCAGCATTCTTCTCTTTGTTGAGGAATCTAATCTTGCAAAATTCCTTGTTCATTTCATCAAGTGCAGGCATTGACGATTATAGCCTTCAATCATGGGAAAATCAATTTGGACACATTTAAAGTGATCCTGAGTGTGGGTCCTTCATTTGCCATCATGAACTTTATAAAGAGTAGGTTCATATTTGCCCATTAAAATTTTCCGAAGAATATTTTTGTGTCACATCTTCTCTTTTGCTTATTGTTTTTCTGCTCCATACGCAGGCTGTCTGGATGTCCTTCTCATGTTTGGCGCTTATACAACAGCAAGGGGCATGGCAATTTCCAGGCTAGTCATTAGGTTTTTCTGGGGTGCTGTGACCTCTGTGGCTATAACCTATCTTTACGTGTGAGTGTCCTTGTGAAGTTTATCTACTTTCATGGGTAATGATCACAGGGTTTATTGCTACAGTGTTTTGGAATTTTCATCAACTTTCTTATAGGCCATCCGTCTTAAGATGACATACCTGTTATTGTTGGTTTGGTGGTCAGTCTTATCTTTTTCCTTGCCATGAATTTTACTATTAGCTTCTGACTTCATTCAATTATGACAGGAAGGTTCTTGATGAGAGGAATAGCCGGGGATCATCAAATTCTTTCTATTTCCGGATATATATACTGGTCTTGGGCGGTTATGCGGCTCTGCGCTTGGTGTTTGCATTGCTACTTAAATTTCCAGCCTGCCATACTCTCTCAGACATATCTGATCAATCATTCTTCCAATTTTTTAAGTGGATTTATCAGGTGCGCATTGTGTATTTAGCTTCCACAAGATGTTCGCTTTGATTTCTATTATGTGCAGATTTGTTTACTGGTGAATGTTTATCTTATGGTGAAGTAAAAATTTTTGATTCAGGAAAGATACTATGTTGGACGTGGGCTTTATGAGAGGATGGGTGATTATTGTAGGTAAGTTACTTGTACATGTTTTCAGTGCATTTCTGTTGCAATAAAGTTCACAAGTTTCACGCATTTCGGTAGTTCCGGGGAACGTTTGGATCTAGTTTAGCGGTTGGACATATACTGCCGTGTTCAAGAAAGTTTGAAGTATCTGGCCGGTGTTAACATTAACGTTCTGTCTTAGGGTTGGTTTGATTAAGTATTATTTCATGCAATGCTATTTGCAATAGCATCTAGTTGAAGAATCATACTGTTTTGCTTGAGTACATATGATGTAATTGAGTCTAGCTGATATAAACTAGATAATCTTACATGCACCAGAGTAGTGAATTTGAAGAATCATACTGTTTTGCTTGAGTAAATATGATGTAATTGAGTCTAGCTGATATAAACTAGATAATCTTACATGCACCAGAGTAGTGAATTTAAAATACGTGGAGGAAGGAGGTATTTGACAAATGCATTGGAGATATTGGTCCCATGTCTTTTTTAGATTTTCTGCAACAGTACTCCATATAAACACATTACGATTCTACAAATGCATGGAACTTAAAGAGCATGTGAAGTAAATACAAAATACCATGGAATTTTGGCAAAGAACACATGCACAATCACAACTTACCTTTCATAAAAGAAAGTACACCAAACCAAATACTTTTCTGAACATGAATATGATGAATAACTGTCATAAGCTGTTGGATAGAAGTTGAACTAGTGACTGCCCCAAACCCCGTCATTCACCATCAAACATTTTAATCTAATTTTTGGGGCTATTAATGCTTGAAACCGTATTCTAAACTTTATTGGCAAATGCTCTAGTATATGGGTCCATCATCTTAATGTTTTGAAGATGTCATTCTGATTAGAAATTTGAGTTTTCTTCTGTACTGCAAATATTCTTTTCAGGTATGTCATGTTTTGGCTGGTGATATTTGCCTGCAAATTCACGTTTACATACTTTCTCCAGGCAAGTTGTCATTCTTAACCATACACACTACTCTTAACTGAAATCAATTTCAGTCGCGAAGCACATGTTCTTACAACCTCCATTTTAACATCTTAAAATTGAACCTCATCAGATTAGACCTCTTGTGAGCCCAACCAACATCATCAGGAATTTTCCAAGTTCAAGTTTGCAATACTCATGGCATGATTTTGTATCAAAGAGTATGTATTTCTTCTTCAGTTCCAGAATCATGTTGATTTATTATCTGCTGTTGTAGTTTAGTAAATTATTATTTCATGCACCCATGGAAAGGAGCCATATCTTGTGTTGAGCATTTTTTTGTTAGTTTGTTCAAATTGAGTTGAGCTTAATCTGTATCATTTTAATTCAGTATTAAATATTTTAACTATTGGCCTTTTTCAGCAACTATTGACCTTTATTCTGGGTGCTTTTCTATTTTTCTGCCTCCGCATTGGGTGGCACACTAAATGATTAGCATTTCTACTTGTGGCTGGGAAAATAGACAAATAAGTTGTTGATACTTGATAGCAGTACCTGTTACCTACTGTGAAGTTGCTTCTATGACAGCTTTAAACTTGTTGGTTGTTAATAATTCACATCCTAACAGTCACTACTATTTTGCAGACAATAATAATGCGCTGACCGTAGTTAGCCTGTGGGCTCCTGTTGTGGCTGTGAGTACTTTCCTTTCCATACTGTTTACTGAATGTGAGATAATGTGTATGCCCCTTAAGAGTTTCTTGCATATGATTCTGGAATTTAAGGTAATTAAAGGGTGAGCTGGATCAACTGTCAGGAGATACTGAGCTTTTCCTTAAATCCTACTTTCTTTTTGCCGAAGACCTGAAGTGTTACTTTTCAGTTCTATTTGTCAAAATACACTCTTATTAAGTGTTAACTGCTTATAATCATGATCCAGATACTGGGAGAGTTACCATAATAATTATGTTTCTTATTAGTTGATTGTGTTGTGCAAAGCAAAGTAGACAGTAGGGCTGTTACATCTTAGTCTTTTTGGTTCACAGGGGTTTCTATTTGTTTTTGTGCTCAGTTACTCTGTTTCCTTATTTTCTCTTGCTTTCCTCCAGATATATCTGATGGACATCCACATTTGGTACACCCTTTTGTCAGCTGTTATTGGTGGAATTATGGGAGCAAGAGCTCGGTTGGGTGAGGTATCATTACAATGCAAATTGTGAATTCAATTTTAATTTCATTGGTCTAGTATGTCTATTCATCTGTAGGAGTTTTTTTCAGAGTGATTGTTGCACATTCATTTTTTCATGATGTTCTATTATTACAATGCCTTGCTGCTAATACATGACAGATACGTACACTTGAGATGGTTCACAAACGCTTTGAGAGCTTCCCAGCTGCCTTCGTGAAGAATCTGGTTTCTTCACATGCAAAGAGGTATCAGTTTTCCTTCTCCTCTTGTCAGCTTTTACGATGTTATTTTATGGAATTTAATATTTAATAGAAATGTAGAGCTTCTTGAACATTATACAGATGATAGTGTTTTGTTGAACTGTTGATGTTTCTCAATCCCAACCTTTCCACTATTTTTATGCATTTTTTACTGTCGACTTTCCAAACAGTTTCCGTTGGTTATATTGGCAATTAAGTACTTTGATATCTTTTTTGACAATCTATATTGTCACTAAAAGTGCTACCATTTTGGGGTCTGATTTTATTTCTGTAGGCAATTCTCTTTTTACCGCCATACAAAGAAAAGATTTTGTTGCGAATGAACAAGATATTGAGAAATTGTCCATATGTAAAATCATAGAAAAAATCTAAAATGTTGTATTATTTTTTATTGGAACTGAAGCTATAGTTCTTCAGGGTTATCAATTGGAATCCCTCAAGTATTCTTTCTTACATTACCTAGAGAATTGAAGATGTTCTGACCTTGTGTTTAGCGTAACTTCCTGGTTCTACCCTTATCCGTGTTAATGTGTTATTCATGTGTGTTAATGTGTTATTTTCTTCCATCTTATGGTTATTCCAGGGTAAAGATGTCTTTTATGATGCTTATTGATGTTTCTTATCTTTATGCCGTCTTAGAATATATCGTATAATCGTATGTTATGATGAGTGTTTCTTTCAGGCTACAGCAAGGTGTCATGATTTCTCACACCCTTCAGTGTTATAATTATGCTCTTCTGTGTATTGATTAGTTTTTATTGACATATTCCAGGATGCCATTAAATGCACAAGCATCTCAGGTAACTCTCGTCTATACATCTAGCCTTCTTATTCCCCCGCTTTATTTTTATTATATTTTATTTTTTCTCCTTGATTCCTCACAAGTTTGTTTTCCAATTTTATCTTTGAAGAATAACTACTTTATTTATTAATATCTCATACCTTTCCCCCCTTTTCTAGTCCAAAACATTTTTTTCGTATTTTGCTTTTGCGATGAAATTTTGTTTAAAGTGTTTTAAATGAATGTTGTTTGGTTTATTTCATTATTAAAGAATAATATTCCGTGAGATGGATTTCTTTTTCATAAGAAATATATATTTCAATTGAGAACTAATATTGATTAATGTCTCCAGTATAAAATGATGAATGTTAGTGCTTTAAATTGACAAATCTGGACATAAATTCGTACAATAGAAGTTTCTAAACGTCCAGAGTTTGAACAATTATGAGTGCATATGATAAATGCTGGTAGAATTTTTTAAATGCAATGTGTCATGTATTAGAGCGCAAGAGCTTTACTCTTTAGGCCGAGAACGAGAAGGCTTTCAATATTAGCATATTAGCAATCTATAATATTTCATAAATAGCATTGGACTTATTTTTTCTTTCTCGAAAAAGATTAACATGTGCATACGATAGACTTAGCCGCAAACCAATATTCGTCAATTAGAAATTGAATGTCTAACTTAGAAGGATTTCTTGTTTAAATAATAATAAAAAAAAAATAGTGTCTGAATGTTGACTGCTTAGTTCAAAAAGAAAAGTTACTTAGTCAAGATCTCATAAAATCTATATGGAGAGACCCCAAATATGTTCTTAAAAACGAATTGTGAAAATATAAATGATTTAAAATAATTTAAGCATAATTGTGACTTGCTGGATTGATAAGATAAGACACGAAACTCACCCGACCAATAGTCTGGGACAAAGCTAGTGCCAGTGATACTGCATCAAGGTTGTTGGAATATCTGCGTTTTTACATTTACAAGCAAAGTTTGATCTAAATAATGAAGATCCAGATCATAGTGTTTTTGGTTCAATTGATTTCGTGGCTTTTTCCTAGTTTGTATTTCCATTGGTTTGCTGCAATGGACTCATATCATCCGATGGATGACTTTTTTACTTTGAGTTAAGCCATTGGTTCACTTTTGGTGTAACAGGAATCTCAGGACTTGAACAAAGCTTATGCAGCAATGTTTTCTCCCTTTTGGAATGAGATTATCAAATGTTTGCGAGAGGAGGATTTTATTAGCAACCGGTGAGGGGTGGGCATGCCTGCTACATGATAGTTCTCTCCGCCCCTTCCCTCTTTCTCTATGCTTTGAATTCTTACTCCTTGGCATGATGTTTATGCTTCAGAGAAATGGACCTGCTTTCCGTTCCTAGCAATACAGGAAGTTTGAGATTAGTTCAATGGCCATTGTTTCTTCTCAGCAGTAAGGTACTGATCGCTTCTTAAATGCTTGCTACATCTTCAGTTTGTCTTTTAGTGTTTTGTTACTAGTTTATGCTGAAACTTTTTCAGATACTGCTGGCAATTGATTTGGCGTTGGACTGCAAAGACACACAAACAGATCTGTGGAATAGAATCTGTAAAGATGAGTATATGGCTTATGCTGTTCAAGAATGCTACTACAGTGTTGAAAAAATCTTACATTCCTTGGTTGATGGTGAAGGGAGACTTTGGTAGGTATCTCTTTATGCAAAATTTCCCTTTATGCAAAATTTCCGTTCAGATCTAGTTGAATTTGCTCCTGGACCAAGCATGTACTTGGGTAAAATAATTTTTGACCGAAGAAGCATCAATTTCATTAGTTTATGATTTCTGCTTCTTATAATAGGGTTGAAAGGATCTTCCGGGAGATCAACAACAGTATACAGGAGGGGTCACTGGTCATAACTTTGTCACTTAAAAAGCTTCCTCTCGTGTTATCACGATTCACTGCACTCACTGGCCTCCTGGTATTTGTTCTAATTGGTCCTATCATTGTTGTTAGAAGCTACTCAACTGATTGTTGTTGAAATCACCATTTTAGGAGTATCATTTGTGTATCATTCTTTCAATTTCACAGCATATGTATCTCTACATTTAAATTTGTTTGTTCATTTAAATGTGTTTGTCTTTTCATGAAAATAACTGATAAGAGTCGAGGTATGTATGTGAAAGTTTTGAAATGCTATATCTTCGTTAAAAAGAAAAAAGAGGCAGCATGTTTATAAAGAAAATGCAATGCTGAGCTCTTCTTTCTGACTGGTTTTTGTATGCACTGCTAGCATGGGGATGCAGATGTCTTTTTGTGGTTTCAACTCTTCTTTGTCATAGAAAATGATGCCACAGCACTAGTGGTTTGATTATTTGCTAGTAATATAAAAAATGACGGAATTCGTAACATACATATATCTAGCTTTAGTTTTTTGTTGTTGTTGTTGCTGTTATTAGAGACCATGTGTTTTAGTTTGACATTGACTGGTGTGCTAAACCACTATATAATCAATAGCTGTCAAATGTCTGAGCAGTTTTTAATGGATATAGCTGAACTGAGACTTCATCCAGGGATAGTTGAATTTGGTTTTTTCTGGTAAACTAGTTAAAATTGGTTTTGGTTGTGGTTTCCAGTCTCTTTTCTTATAATTTTGTCTGTTATCGTATTTCTTGTGGAACTTGTCAATTTGATGCTGATGGATGATTTCTGTCCAGATACGGAATGAGACTGCTGATCTTGCCAAAGGTGCGGCAAATGCTGTATATCAACTCTATGAGGTTGTTACTCATGACTTGCTGTCATCTGATCTTAGGTATGTCTTCGGATCTTATCACTCATCTTTACTGAAGAAATTATGAATCTTTGAGAAATGTTTATGCTGAATTGTTGTGTGCAGGGAGCAACTTGATACTTGGAACATTTTAGCTAAAGCAAGAAACGAAGGACGATTATTTTCTAGGATTGAATGGCCAAGAGATCCAGAGATTGTAAGCATATTTGATTTGGTCTCTTCGTTTACATCCTAGTTTGCATGTTGTTCAGCTCTGCATTTATATTATTATTGGTTTTGTTGATACAGAAGGAGCAGGTGAAGCGACTACACCTCCTTCTCACTGTAAAGGATTCTGCCTCTAATATTCCAAAGAATCTTGAGGCAAGAAGAAGACTAGAGTTCTTCACGAATTCACTGTTCATGGATATGCCTTCGCCTAAACCAGTTTCTGAAATGATACCCTTCAGGTTATGAGAATTTAGAATGCGAGAAATGTGCATTTTTATTTCCCTTTTCTATTCTTCTGGTAGCAAGTGCATCTTCTTAATTCAACATTTCCGCCCCATATCAGTGTCTTTACCCCATACTACAGCGAGACGGTACTATATAGTTTATCTGAATTGCGGGTGGAAAATGAGGATGGAATATCAACTCTCTTCTATCTCCAGAAAATTTTTCCAGGTATGGATTCCTTTTGGATTTATATTCTGTAAAGTTGGCTCTTCTTGTTTCCCTTGCTGTATGCTTCTTTTGTTCTGACTTGCCATTATAATGGACTAAAACCCTCAACTTGTATCCTGTCGTGTATACTTGAGTAATTGGTGCTTGACTTATAATTGTGGAGAAGTGGTTGTATCATTTTCTCAGCACTGCCTCTCCAGAACTGTATTCTTACACGATAGCTCCAATCTCATGTCTTTTTCCTGGATGACTGATTGCTGAACCTCCCATTGGCATAGAATGTCTAAAAACTATAATTCAAACTTTCAGTTCCATTAATCGTGGGAATAATTCTGTCTACCTTTAAACCTCCCATTTGGTTAGAGAATTGTCTCTAAATAATATAAAGGGGTTTCTCGGGGAATGCTTCCTCTTTATTTGTGGAATTCTTTTTTTTTTTCCCCTTATGTTTTTGCTCACAATTTTTACAAAAGTCTCCAATATTATTTCGGAGATTGCCCGTTTTATTTTATGAACTTCTCTTCATTTTCACCCCTGTTTTCTTTAGATTTTCTAACGGTTTATTTAATATGACACTCCATTTTTACATGTTGTATAGTAAATTTTTACAATGTTTATAATATTTTTAATTAAGTTCACATATTTATTGATCAGGTGATATTGTAAATTTAAGATAACACAGTTGTGTCTCTTAACTGAGCATTGATATAAGCATAAATGAATTGTTATTACAAATACCAGAAGTTAACGATTTATATATAAGGAATTTTTAGCAATGTATACCATAATAGGGTTGAGCATTCGTGAGTATTGAGGTAGTTTTCAACAAACGACCTGATTTCTCTATCGAGAAAAAAAATCGCATGATAAACCCGACCTGAGCATTAATATGAGAATAATGAATTATTATTACAAATACCGAAAGTTAACGATTAATGTGTATTGATTTTTTAGCAATGTATACTGTAATAGTGTTGAGCATTCTTGAGTATTGTGGTAGTTCTCGTCTTCTCGACATATGACTCGATCTCTCCAAAAAAAGTAATAGTCCAATGATAAACCTGGCCAACAGGCCGGGCAAAAATGTACTGTATAATAAAGCACAATGCCTCTAACTTGCATTTGCCTGTTGCTTGCCGGGGTCCCTTGGATTTCATTGCAAACTAGTGAATGCCGTACTATACTGCCTTTCATTGATATGCACATATGTTTAATATTGTAATAATGCCTGCTGACTTCTCTTCTGTTATCCTTTATGCTTCATGACTGGGAATTTATCTGTATCTCAGATGAGTGGGAGAACTTCTTGGAACGGATTGGTAGAGGAGAGACCACCGGTGATGCTGATCTCCAAGAAAATTCTAGTGATTCTCTGGAGCTTCGTTTTTGGGCATCTTATCGTGGACAGACTCTGGCTAGGACTGGTTAGATTTATGCTCTGCTCTACAAGACTATAAATAAATGTTGGTTAATTTCTCGGTGTTATCCTTGAGAACATGCTATTTACAGCAAGTCAATGTGGTATTTGGGGTTGAATTTCGATCCATTAATAATAGTTTCTTCTATTTGTCTACATTCCCCACCCTCTGAGATGCAGTACGTGGTATGATGTACTATAGAAGGGCTTTGATGTTACAGAGCTATCTGGAGAGAAGATCCTTGGGAGGTATGTGCTTTTGGCCGGTAAATGGTAATTTGTTCTTTCTCAGAATAAATGTCTATCTTAGATATCTTCACTTTGTGTCTGTAGTTGATGATTATTCTCAAACTGATGCAACCACTCAAGGATTTGGATTTTCCCGTGAATCACGTGCTCAAGCCGACTTGAAATTCACTTATGTTGTTTCATGCCAAATATATGGCCAACAGAAGCAGCGGAAAGCACCGGAGGCTGCTGATATTGCTCTTTTATTGCAAAGGTGAAAGTTTTTTCTTCTCCCTGTTTCATATGCTATATTGTAATAAGTTGTGAATGCACTGCATTACTATGTTATAGCCAACTTTCATCATTGGATGTTACAAAGTAAATAATCTTTTAGGAATGAGGCACTTCGTGTGGCGTTCATTCATGTGGAGGAGACTGGTTCTACCGACGGGAAAGTTACCAAAGAATACTACTCGAAGCTTGTGAAAGCTGATGCGCATGGAAAAGATCAGGTAATTATTACCTAAGATTTGTGATCTTGCTATAGGAAGTTCCATTGGTCAGGATCTTTCAGTCTAATTTCCTCAAAAGTTTTAGATCCCTTATATATAGAGAGAATTTGATTGTTCAAAGAGAAGGATGATTCAGCATGGAGATAAGCTGGAGGGATTTATCAGCCTGGCCATTGAGTAAAAAGGGTGTACAGAACAGCTGCTATGATATGCGAGCAAATGCAGAATCATGTGACATTTTATCTATCAATGGTGCTGGGGTTTTTTGATTTCTGCAGTGTAATAAAAAGTGATTCCATGTGAGGTCAACTTTGGAGTTTTAGTGTATATGATACTAGGACCATCTGATCATTTTTCTTCTTCGTCGTTCTCATCCATGCTTCGCAATATGCTTTGATCCTGTTGCCCTTATGCTTTCTTACTGCTAGTTTATTGGTGCTTAAGACAACACTCCCAGACTTGTGAAACTACTATGATACGACAACTTCGCTCATGCACTTTTATGTTGATTAGGAAGTATATTCTATCAAACTTCCTGGTGATCCAAAACTTGGAGAAGGGAAACCTGAAAACCAGAATCATGCTATCGTTTTCACTCGTGGGGAGGCCATTCAGGCAATTGACATGAATCAGGTCATACCTATGAGAATCTTTTTTCCTGTACCCAAAATTATTTCTAGCAATGTCTTTTAACTGATTGCACCTGTTTCACTCACACTAAGAAGGTTGAGACTGGGTCTTTCTACAGGACAATTACTTCGAGGAAGCAATGAAAATGAGAAACCTCCTTGAAGAGTTTCGAGCCAACCATGGAATTCGACCTCCTACCATCCTTGGTGTGAGAGAGCATGTGTTTACTGGCAGGTTTGATTGTCATTTTGAACTAATTATCAAGTCTCTTTTTGTTACTCTGATGGCCATTTTACTGAATTGTTTTGTATTTACGTACAGTGTCTCTTCTTTGGCGTGGTTTATGTCTAATCAAGAGACAAGCTTTGTAACACTGGGTCAAAGGGTGTTAGCAAAACCTTTGAAGTAAGCAATCAGCAACACTTTCCACTTTGTAGTTTGATGTGATGCTGTAAGCAGTTGTAAGGTCAAATGCTGTATGCATGCAGTGCTTGATACAATTTCAGGCACATAACAATGAGTAAACTGTTCCGTTATAAAAGTGGCCCACTTGCGTAGAATGGGGAGACCAGAGTTCATGATGCCTAACACTACTTTTGAACTGTAAAAATAGAAACGACCATTGCAGTAAGCGTAAAGTGATGCCAAAGTGGCGACAACATGGTAGATTCATGAAGATTGTCCTACATAAGCTAATCTTTCACTAATGGTCTCTGTGGCAGTTTTTGATCCATTTTTATCTACAATTATTCACAGAGTTCGTATGCACTATGGCCATCCAGATGTTTTTGACAGAGTATTTCATATCACTCGAGGCGGTGTTAGTAAGGCTTCACGTGTTATTAACATTAGTGAAGATATATATGCAGGTAAAGCATGACAGGGAAAGCTTCTCTGTGAATAGTTTTGGTCGTTTTGTTTTCTTTTTTGTGTAATTTTTCCTTAACGCAGTCTGGACTACTGAATGCTGCAGGGTTCAACTCCACATTGAGGCAGGGAAATATTACACACCATGAATACATTCAGGTTTAGTATTTGGTCATTTTCTTGCTTAGTCTCAAAGAATGCACTGTCTCCATCTGTCTTGATGGCCTGTATGTTGTAGGTTGGGAAGGGAAGAGATGTTGGTTTAAACCAGATTGCTCTGTTTGAAGGCAAAGTTGCTGGTGGAAATGGAGAGCAAGTACTGAGTAGGGATGTCTACAGACTCGGACAATTATTTGACTTCTTCAGAATGCTGTCCTTCTACATCTCATCAGTTGGTTTTTATGTTTGTACAATGGTATGAATTTTCTAAATCACATATCTCTTTGTATTTCACCATCCCCTTTCAAGTGTTAATAGTTCTCTAATATTTCATTTTCTCTGGCAGATGACTGTTCTGACGATATACATATTCTTGTATGGAAGGGCTTACCTGGTAATCTAATACTTCAATTTTCCTAACCGTTTAGTCATACACATAGTTATACTTATAATCGAATCTTCTTTTGTCAAGTTGAGCTTGTGACCTTGTACTTCAAGAAATTCATAGCTTTGTGCACATATTCCTAGTGCTCTATCTCCAGTAACAGTTCAAGTTGGCTTTATCAAATCATTCCTTGACCTAGCCTGGGATCATTTCTTTTTGAATCTTCAGATTTTTTTTGAATGAATAAGTTTTTGAATAACGAGTCGCATGTTGCTTTCTTACTTTCAACCTTGCTAGTGAGCTTGTTTCTTTGCCTCCCACTATCTTACCAAGATGGCTTATTCAGCTAAGTTTCTGCTGTTTCCCCCTCTTTCTTGTGGCCATGATACCTATTTGGACGGGGGATTTTCAGGCTTTCTCAGGAGTTGACCGTGCAGTTGCTCGTGAAGCAAGGATTTTGGGGAACACTGCTTTGGATGCGGTGCTTAATACCCAGTTCCTTGTCCAGATTGGAGTTTTTACTGCAGTGCCTATGATAATGGGCTTCATTCTTGAATTGGGGTTGCTGCAGGTTGGTCAACAGTAGTTTGCTGTTTTTGTATTTCGAGTCTTGCTTCTATTTTCTTCCCTTTCATGAGAAGCCCTGCATAGATGCAATTTACTTTCATGTAATACCCTGATCTTCATTCCTTGGTGCCCTTTTGACTTGACTATGCTACATGCATTAATGTTGTTAATCTATTTACTTGCAGGCTGTTTTCAGTTTCATCACCATGCAACTGCAGTTGTGTTCAGTCTTCTTCACATTTTCACTGGGAACTAGAACCCATTATTTTGGTCGAACGATTCTACATGGGGGTGCAAAAGTATGTTCTCTATCTCATTCGTGTTGAATTTCGGAGTTCTTGTTGTTATTGGCTCAGGAAAATTCATGTGTTGTGACTTTACTGACAGTACCGAGCAACTGGTAGAGGTTTCGTTGTCCGGCATATAAAGTTTGCTGAAAATTACAGGCTATACTCAAGAAGCCACTTTGTTAAAGCGTGAGTGTTGATTGCTCGCAAGTTAATATTTCGGAGTACAGTGTGTTTGTGTTGCCAATGGTAATCAGAGTGCATCTATGGATTCACAAGGGGTATCTTTTGGCTTGTAAATATTTGCAGGCTTGAAGTTGCACTGCTTCTTATAGTTTACATCGCATATGGATTCACAAGGGGTGGTGCAGTCTCCTTTATTTTGTTGACTCTTAGCAGCTGGTTTCTGGTCATATCTTGGCTGTTTGCTCCTTACATATTCAATCCCTCTGGTTTCGAATGGCAAAAGTAAGCTGAATGTCTGTTGCTATTTGCTTTTACATAATTCAAGTTTTTGTTTTACCTCCCGATTCTTTAATCTTTTTGGATGAGCAGGACTGTTGAAGATTTTGATGACTGGACAACTTGGCTTATGTATAAAGGTGGAATTGGTGTTAAGGGCGATCAAAGTTGGGAGTCGTGGTGGGATGAAGAACAGGTTAAACTAAGTTTATATTAGGGTTATGCCATTGGAATCTGGGCATTGCATTCAACTAATCGAACTCGGATTACATTATGGATTCTCAATTATGCCGTTGTTTCTCATGTTATTTATTATCTCTGTTCTTTCTATGTTCCTTTTCAGACGCATATTCAAACCTTGAGAGGTCGTGTATTGGAGACACTTTTAACCTTGAGATTCTTCTTGTTTCAATATGGCATTGTGTATAAACTCCATCTCACTGGAAAGGACACATCTCTTGCGGTACGCTCATTCTCTGCCTTCTATCATTATTATTATTGTTATTATGCTTCAACTTTTGCATTCTGTGTTTTTTCCTAGCAATTTGTACTCCCTTTATTGGCTTCGCCTTCCACCATTTGATTCCCGCAAATAGTTGTCCTGATCTAATTAACATGTTCGTAACTATTTAGCTGGTTTGCTTCATGATCTTAAATGGTTTTACTTGTTTTGTACAGATTTATGGATTCTCCTGGGTTGTATTGGTTGGCCTTGTCATGATCTTCAAGGTACTGATTGTTTCCATGAATCGATTCAGATTGATAAGCTAAACTTGTTTTTTCTTTTCTTTTTCCGTTGGTTGTAGGCTCCAAGGTTGGGGCCTAGGGTGTGGTGGATGTTCTCATCCCCACATTACCACTAGGCCACCCCTTGGGGTTAACTTGTTCCCCCCCTCTAACTCTGCTGATATTCTGTTCTTTCCCAGGTCTTTACCTATAGCCCAAAGCGATCGATCAATTTCCAGCTATTGATGAGATTCATGCAAGGGGTGACATCGATGGGACTAATTGCGGCCCTTTGCCTTGTTGTGGCCTTTACGAATCTGTCAATTGCAGATTTATTTGCAAGCATCCTTGCATTCATTCCTACTGGATGGGCCATTCTCTGTGTAAGTTGCTTGTTATCCTGGGCAAATGTTTCGTCTTGTATATGTTTATCCTCTACGGTAGATATAGTACTGAGTACTCAATTCTTTTTCCCCCCCACACAGCTTGCAATCACCTGGAAAAGTATCGTGAGGAGTTTAGGTTTGTGGGAGTCCGTACGGGAATTTGCGAGAATGTATGATGCCGGGATGGGTATGGTTATTTTCGCGCCAGTGGCATTCCTATCCTGGTTTCCTTTCATTTCTACCTTCCAGTCTCGCCTTCTGTTCAATCAAGCTTTTAGCCGTGGTTTGGAGATCTCACTTATCCTTGCTGGGAACAAGGCAAATGTGGATATGTAGTTCTTCACTTTCCATGATGGATGGTCGCATCTATGGAGGCGAGATTTTCCTGTGTGAGAAACCACGTTCCTTCTTTTGTTTTTGTAGATTACTATATATGCTGCTGCATATTAAGAGTGTTTTGATAGATGAGCGGAATCATGCTGATAGTTGTAGCAGGAATTGTGCCGACAGTTTACCACATAGATGCTTTTTATTGACACAAATTCTGATGGGTGGATCTTAATGATAGCTTTAGTAGAGACGTCAAAACCGCCTTGTACTCGGTTTCAACCTTTGGTAACTTTGATTGTTAATTGGGTGCTTATTACTGCATTTTATCTATTCTAGGTTGCATTCCTCAATGTTCACTTTGTCTTTTTAACAATGTTACTACACATAAATAACATATAATAGTATAAATACTAAACACATAAGCCTGTAGAAGCTTTTGTAGAAACAGTTTCTGACTGGAGCTTTTAGAGAAATACTTAAAAAAAAAAAAACAGCTAGTAGATGCAGTTTCTGACTGGAGCTTTTAAAGAAATACTTAAAAAAAAAAAACAGCTAAGTATTTGGTTGGAAAAACTATTAGAAGTGTTTTTTAATATGAGAGGTTGTGTAAAATGACTATAAAGGACTTATAATAGACTACGAATAAAAATTCTTAACAATAAAAAGTAGTTAAAATGAATATTGTTAGAGTTCATTTATATTAAATAATAATATGATTTTATAATTTCTTTTATATTTAGAATGGTATAATTGAAAGAAAATTCAATTTTCTGAAATAAAATCAAAATATGGTAAGGATAATCTTGTATTTTCAAAACAGTTTTTCGCAGAAAGTACAAATCGGAACTTATGTTTATATGTTATACAAAAGCGCTTTTCGGCTTTTCAAAAATCGAGATTTTAGAGGTGTTTGGCCCTTCTTCAACTTTTGAAGCTGAAAAACACTTCTAAAATCTGGGTCAAACATAGGCATAATACAAATTAAACTACAAATCCAAAATATAGTGCATTACTCTTAACAAATTCAGAACATGATTAAAGCATAAGTAAAATTCTCAATTTCAAATATGATTGGATACATTATTTCCAAAATAAAAGTAAAAAAGAAAGAGTATAAATGAAAAAGGAAAGAAAAACGAAGATTATAGGTATAATGTGCTAGTTTGGCCTCGTTGTGCTTTTTGCAAAAGTAGCTTATGACTTGAGGTCAAATTCCAATTCCAAGGATATTTTCCCTACGTCCTAGATACCCTAATAGATATAGGATGCACCACAAGTGGGGCTCACCCCACCCCAATGCACTCCCTGAAGAATGGTGGAAATCATTACCATCGTCGATAGCTATGAAAATGGCTATTGGAGATGACAACCTAATTACTCATTTTGACTCGAATGTTAGTTGAAATTTCAGGCAAAACATTCACCATTGGAAAATTTGTGCTTTTCTTGAGCTTGATGCTGATTTTGTTCTCGGAAATGCATTTTTAAAAGGGCAACAAGAGAATCTACCCTTCATAAGAATGCTCACAAAATCTCGCTAGGAGGACTCGCCATTCCTGGTATTTCCTCTCCTCTCCTCGACTAAAACTTAAATTTGGGTTTTACCCTATTAAAACCTTAACATTTTGTGGTTCTGAGCCCTGTGACAGAGCTTATATAGTGCAAACTGAGCATGGTGATACATGGTATCATGAGCTATTTGATGAATCTGAAACATGGATTGATGAAAAATTTCATGGAGGAATGAGACATAAAGCATATAATATGAAGTATGATTTTGACAAATACATAGTAGAAGAATATGATACCAAATGGTATGAAGAAATGTTTGGATATGAAAAACAAACGTGGTGAAAACCACAAGGTATCTCAACGATATGAAGTATAATACCTAACGAGCTACCATTGCAAAAGATTTTAACCAAGCTAACTGATAATTTTAGTGAAGACCCACTAAAGTTATGGAGTTTATTTTTCTGGCACCTAAAAAATTCATATTACGAACAAATTCAACATATGTTAAGAGATTTAGAAATATGAAACTCAAAGAAGCTAGACAAACTAGACTTTTGAGATTGCAAGAATGGTTTAGCTATTACAACTTTGATATCAAATTTATTCCTTATGACAATAATGTGATAGCTGACACTCTTTCTCGTGAACTTGCTAATTTTACAGATGGATCCTGCTGCAAAAAAGCCACTTTGTTGGATATGCTAGAGGACGGAACACACTCAGAAGAGTTGTCCTAACTGGACTACCCCAGAAAGAGAAAACAAGAGCCACATAAGCTCTGGCCTACAGTGGGCAAAATGAAACAAGTTTCCTGGTCCCATTGGGACGAAAACAAAAAAAAGGTTGGGGCATCAACAAAAGAATTGGACTCACTGAAGCTCTAAAAAGCTAGCTAACCCTGTTGGGGAAGCGTCTCACACGACGTGGGAAAGAAAAGAACCACATCCTTCAAAGGTTGAAGAAACCTTGGTTCCAGAAAACAAGGAGCGAACAAAATGATGAATATATTAATATTCATGAAGAAGCTTACAAACAAAATAAGTCCATACAACATCGGCTTAAGGAGATGTCTGAAGCATGACATAAAAGCAGTGGGCCTCCACGGTGAAGAGACGGGGAAGTTCGATTATTATGTCCTATATCAAGGACCTAAAGGTGTTACAGATATCACTTTGCCACCACCTGGATGGGATGAACCAATCACAAAATTCAGACCCAAGTTAAATTCTTGATGGGATATCATATGGTTAATCTTAATGATCAAGGTCGAACCAAATCCAGAAGGGATGGTGAGCTATCCGATCAGACTCCCGATATTATTGTCTCTGACAAGGATCTTGAAAGATCGGATGAAAACTCAAAAAATGAATCTGGCACCAATGAACCAATGGAAGATGAGTGACATTTCTCTTCAAAAGAATTGCCACTCTTATCAGAAGAAACAACCACAATTATTTCTGGGCTCAAAGGAGGACTAGAAAAGAGAAGAATGATGCAGATAGAGTTCTTTGTGAAAGAAGAAATCACCCAACTTGGCAAGCTAGAAAATGATGTGTCATTCCAGAAGAACCATGGGTATAATTTGCTGAGTTTTCTTGATGAAAAAATAAAACTGTTGGATAACATCAAAAGGCTATTCAAGTCAAGAAATGGCTAGCTCCTTTCCGAGGAGACACCAGTATCGACATAATTAATATCCGAAGAAAATTCTGTGTTTCATCCATATGTAAGATGGGATAATGGATGGCCATGTCTACACATTACTGTAGATATGGTGATGGAAGGAAAAAAGCTTCATCGACAAAATTACTTTAACTAGTAATTTGCATCCTATATTTCTGCAAGCTTTGAGCTGGCTCGGATGTTCTTCGAAAATGGTTATGTGTGTGATTACTAGCACAATTCAAGAGAAAGCTGATGTTGAACAAGTATTTCGCCCCTATACGATATGCGAAATCTTTCCCATTGGAACTGAGAAAATTATCGTCAAAACTCCAAACTACCCATGAGTTTCAATCAAAATATGAGGAGCATAAAAATCAGTATACGATGGAGAAAATTTTGAAGATTGAATTCTTCAAGGCTTGTGCAGAAAAAATAATAGCCAAAGCAGATGATTTAGTGGTCGTTAAGTCAGGCAAAGCCTTTGTGGGATATTTGCTATATGGACCCTAACATGGTAAAAAATGGAAAGACGCAAAAGGATGTATCTATTACTGAGGATTTGGGATAGATATTCTAATCTCGGTATCCACGACACAATTGCAGAGTGGATAAAGACCACAGAAAATGTTCAAGAGCATCTTTCCAAAAGAGGCCAAACACTAATGGACTACACTGTGATGATCGTCCCCACAACATAGTATGTAGCACTTAGTATGTCCTTTGTATATGACCAAAGGAATCTAAATAATGTGAGTGTAGTGTGTTTTGATCTAGAAAACAGTACCAGAGGCACCAGCTGCCCTAATGTGTTGGCAAACAGTACCAGAGGCACCAACTCTGTACATAGCTACCTTGTGAGTGTTCATTTCTCAAGTTTTAGAAGGGAGTCTTAGACAGAGAAAACGAAAGAGAACAAGTATAAGGTTGAGAGAAGAGTATTGTGTAATAGTCCCCTCTGTTGTGATATCTATATAAACCTTCTGAGTTATCCTCAATCGACCTCAAACACCTTCTATCTCTTAATATATCTGTATGCTTTTGTTAACAGTCTGAAAGACAGGTGTGTTTTCATAGCAAGACCTCGACAAACCAAAGAGGCAACTCAAAGACATAGAAGAACCTCAACCCAATCCTAGGTAAAGCTGGTGACGAGCAAGAAAAGATCAAAAGCATAAGCTTAGTGGGCCTTACTAACTGACCAAGTATATGAGGTTAAACTCATCTAGATTTCTTACTATTTGAGTTTGAATGCTATTTTACTCTATTCTTATATGAGTAAAGATTGCCAGTATTCTGATTGTTTTCATCTTTTACATAACTGGTAATGATCCCACTACTGAGATTTTAAATAATATTGTAGATCATTTGTCATCCTTAATTAGTAAGGTATACAAGTTTTCCAATAACTTAGAAGAACTGACTTTAGACAGAATTGAAGACTTGATCTTCAAGAGTAAATCCACTTTGGGATTTGCTGCTAGTTCTCGAATTACATCTGAATTTGAGAGGTTGAATAAAATTCGACCCAGACGTAATGGTATTGGAAAATAATTGGCATTAGAGCCTAAAAATTAAGAAGAATTAATTTATTAAAGTTTGAGTACTATTTTGTGAAAATAAAAAGCTCCATGGCTTCTAGAAACTTGGTAGGAGCAAAGTAGCTTAGAAACTAGCGTGATCACCCAAGAAACACATTAGGTGACTAGTTTTGGAAATAGTTTCGGCTATATCTGGAATTTGTTTCTTTTTAGCTATTATTTTGGTAAATAAACAACATATATGTGCTTTTTAAGAATTTCAAATAGGGAAAAATTTGAAGTGCTCTCTCCTCTCTCCTCTTTCTGGTTTTCTAGGGTTCCCGATGTCAGCCTCGCCGTCGGCTGCTCCGGCTGGCGAGGGCAGTTCCTGGGCGCAGCTATTCGAGGTTGCTCCGGAGAATCGGCTTCAATTAATATCGTCCGCCGATCAAGTTTCAAGACGGTTTCCGGCTACCGAAGGAGGTGAAGGAGAAGGGAGGGAAGCGGTGGAAGAACTCTCTAATTCGTTGGGACTAGGCCAAAGGTACCGGAGCTGCAATCCTGGGCAAATGCTCTCTGGGGGCGGGATGGCATGGTCAGAGTGTCGAAGTTTGGGTCGAAGCTCCTGGTATTTCAGTTTCCTT